TGGATTTAGAGAAGAATATTGTACGACCACCTCCACCTCGCTATGCTGTTTACAGGATGAGCACCGATTCATGGAGAGTATTGAAAAAGGAAGATGTTCAGTTCTTACAAGACCTATGTATTTGTTGCAGCTCCGATGACGCATGTGTAAATGGTGTTTACTACTGGAACATGAGCAAGTTTGGCTCTGACAGTAAGATCCTTGCATTTTATTTGAGCACTGAAGTTTTTCAATTGATGGAGTCACCTTGTCCTAAATCTAGTGGGAAGCTGCTTCCATTGCATGATCGTATATCTTTCTGGGATACGGAGATGAAGGATAAAAATGAAAAAAGTAATGAGGTTTGGGTGTTGAATGAGGATGGGCAGTGGACCAAACTTTTGAAGATTGAACCTATTTTAGATGTTGAAAGGATGTTTGGGTTTTGGATCAATGGTAAGGTATTCGTAGAATCCGGACGTGGACAGTTATTGCTTTATGATCTTGAGAATGAGGAATTCAGCGAGCTTGGTATTAAAGTCCAGGAAGGTGGAGAAGATCTTCTTCGGGTTCACAGTTATGAGGAGAGTCTTGTTGTTATCAAAAGAGTGTGAGTTCTTTGTTTTGGTTTTTACAATGTTCTCAATTTTCTCAAATTGTTGTTGAGGACATGTTTATTCTTGGTTGGTAAAAGAAGATTTTCTCACCTATAAGCCTTTGCTTTTGAAACCACATTAGGTTTTTCAGTTATTTCATTGCAACAGGGTGTATCTTTGTCTCATTTTACATGCGCTTGGGATACACAACCTCTTGGATCATGGGTTGTACGCACAGATTTTTACAAGAAAAAACGATTCCTGGCCTAGTGGTGCAAGTAGATTGTTCCTAATGTAATTACTAATGTAAGCAACAAAACAAATTTGACCACTTGTCGATGCATGGCGGAAAATAGCTGAATGATCCACCTCATCTCTTTCGATTATCCTTTCAACTGAAACCTTTTATTACTGGTAATATCGAAAGACAGCCAACCCCTTAGAGAGCAGTGATTCTTTAATTTCCTTTTTTTTCTATAGTAAAAGCGGATAAGGCAGAGTTTAAACACAAGCCTGAATTTGAACCCGGATCCTGCAGGGTCAACCCACCCGAAGAGACACAAGCCATTGCGCCGAAACCCGCAGCTTTATAAAGCAATGATTTGCGGAGATTCATGCAATGTTTTACAAATTACTAATTGATTATTGCATACCAGTATTCTATGCCAAATGCAGGAAACTACAAGCAACATTTCAATACTTGCATGCCTGCATCATTCATCCATGATATCATCAAAGTTAAAAAGCTGTAAACCACTCAATTAATCAAAATTTTCACTTTAGATGATAAACGAAAAATGGTTCACAAAATCCTTCATTCCAAATCCCAAGCACTACCACTTTGATGAAAACAAAAATTTGGTAAACCATGATGAAAGCTAAACTCATCCCGTAATCGTAAGACCTTGGCTTCTCCTTCTTCTCTTTGAAAAGAGCTAGAAGTGACACACCACATACCTTAACAACCTTGAACCTGACTCCAGGAATATCTCCCACAGCATGCCCTTTTCGTCCAAATCCTGCAATCAAAACCTCATCCTGCACCAAATCAAACCAAGCATGGTATTAGGCAACACTTAAACTCTGTTATCTACTGCAAGCTTTTCACAATTTTCTTTAACTAACAAATCATACCAGTAGACAAAACATCCCAAAGACTGAGAAATTATGAACATGGATCAATGAAATTCTACTCAATAAACATTAACCAAAGACAAAAACATGGTTCAAAGATCAGAAGAGTTATGACAAAAACCAGAAAATTGTGTATAACTTGCATTCTCCTCAATGTAGTTTAAGCAACCATCATTGGGTACAAAAGCAGCAATTTTCTTCCCATTCTTGATCAGCTGAACACGAGCACATTTTCGGATAGCAGAGTTAGGCTGCTTAGCTTCAATGCCACTGCAAATGCCAGCAACAAAATTGTCAAGTTCTGCATCAAATTCAAGCGCGATCTGCTAGATCAATACCCTTAAAACATCATCAAAACATAACTTAGTTCTAACATTTTCTCAAGCTTAGTTCTAACATTTTCTCAAGAACTATGCCTTGGGTATGTGATGATCTAGCAAATGGTTTCTTCCATTCATTTCCCAGATTGGACTTCTTATATGCCCTGTCAGCCCACATCTGCCTCCTGCGGTGGGTTCTCAACTTACGACTAGCTCCCATTCCATGAATCTTCCTGCTCAAAACTCCCACTTTGTCAGCATATTTCCCCAAAATACAACACAAATCACCTTATAAAGGCTTATCTACCAAGCCAAATAATCAAATTGGATAAACAAAAAATGAATTTCCTTTGCACAACAGCAATCTTCAATATACATATGCATCACAAAAAAGGCAAAAGGTCCTCGAATATAAATAACCTAACCCGACCCAATGGTTCAAAAGTTCATTAACCATCGTTTCATAAGTTTCTATCTACAAATCCTGAACAACAACTACGATAATAAATTTCTCACATTCCATTTCCTTCTTCCATAATTTTCCCAACAACCAAACAGTTAATTAAAGACATTTTGACCCATAAATTCCACAACTTTATTAACAACCAAACACACCAGAAATCAAACACACAAGAAACAAAAGGAAAAGAGAAAGTATTATTGACCCACATATCATCTAATCATATAAACTAGATCTTAACGACTAATTAAAGAAAAAAAAACAAAGGGCAATCACGAAATGATTCACAAAGCTAGCATTTTTCAAATGCAAGGATCAAATTGAAAAGAACAAAAAATAACATTTGTCGTAACATATAAATTCGAAAATCTATAACTAAACTGAATAAATGAAGTCGCCAATAAATTTTTTTCTAGGTATGATTGACCACCTATTTAATCTATCCTTTTAAAGAACTATTAAGATTGACTAAGAATCTTTAAAAGAAGAGATTTTGGTCTTCTAATCATAACAAGATTCAAGAGTTTGATTACATATGTGGAAGGTTATAGCCCATTCGAAGGATGGTACCATTTTTATTTTAAATTTATCCTAAAGTTTTGATTCTAATTGTCTTAAGTTTTAATGTTAAATATTGAAAATAATTTTTAAAATTCTCTATCAATCTGACAGAACTCCTAAAAATACTTCATCACCTTAAGAGTATTCAAGAATCTTATTTATTTTCATGAAGAGTCTTCATTGTCAGAAAGAGATTTAATTATTTTTATATTTTGGTTTCTTATTTATTAAAAATATATCTAATTCATCCACCATTTGGGGCTAAAATTAAAAATAACTTTTCATCTAGAAATTTGTTAAATAATCAACCATTGCATTTACTAAGAATTTGAGTCAATTTATAATTTTTTTATTTTTTTTATTTTTTTTGAATGATATGAAAACTATTTTTTTGAAATTTCATTTAAATTCTTTCATCGTTTGGGACAAATTTAAATAAATTTTTCACCTAAAAATTTCTTAAATAATCAACCATTCGCAATTACTAAGAATTTCATTATCAAAATTTTTTTTTATTTTTTTATTTCTAAATTTTTCACTATTTGAGTCAATTTAGAATTTCTTTTTTTTGTTTTTTTATTATTTTTTTGGATGATATGACAACTATTTTCTTAAAATTTCATTTAAATTCTTTCATCATTTATGACAAATTTAAATAAATTTTTCACCGAAAAATTTCTTAGATAATTAACAATTTGCAATTACTAAAAATTTCATCATCGCAATTTATTTTTATTTTTTTATTTCTAAATTTTTCACAATTTGGGTCAATTTAGAATTTTTTTGTTTTTTTTATTTTTTTTGAATGATATGACAACTATTTTTTTGAAATTTCATTTAAATTCTTCCATCGTTTGGGACAAATTTAAATAAATTTCTCACCTAAAAATTTCTTAAATAATCAACCATTTGCAATTACTAAGAATTTCATCATCAAAAATTTTTTTTATTTTTTATTTCTAAATTTTTCACTATTTGGATCAATTTAAAATTTTTTTAATTATTTTTTGAATGATATGACAACTATTTTCTTGAAATTTCATTTAAATTCTTCTATCATTTGGAACAAATTTAAATAAATTTCTCACCTAGAGATTTTTTAGAAAATTTACAATTTGAAATTTCTAAGAATTCTCATCATTGGGATAATTGTCAAATATTTTCTAACCAAAAATTTTTGTGTTTGGAAAATAATATAATTACTTATATTAAAATTTCATCTAAACTATTCCACCATTTGGGACAACTTTAGAGAAATTTCTCACTTAGAGATTTCTTAGAAAATTACCATTCCAAATTTTTAAGAGCTTCATTCTTGGATAATTAGTATTTAATCCTAAAATTTTTATTAGTTTTTTATTTTCTCTTTTATTTTCTTTTTTTAATTGAAAATAAATATTAATTACTGTTATTGAAACTTTATCTAAATTATTCTACTATTTGAGACAAATTTAGAAAAAAATTTCTCACTTAGGAATTTCTTATAAATTTATAAATTTACCATTTGAAATTTCTAAGAATTTTATCCTCAAATAATTATTATTTATTCTAAACCACCATTTGGGACAACTTTAGAGAAATTTCTCACTTAGAGATTTCCTAGAAAATTACCATTCCAAATTTTTAAAAGCCTTATCTTTGGATAATTAGTATTTAATCCTAAAATTTTTATTAATTTTTTATTTTTCTCTTTTATTTTTTTTAATTGAAAATAAATATTAATTACTGTTATTGAAACTTTATCTAAATTATTCTACCATTTGAGATAAATTTAGAAAAGATTTCTCACTTAGGAATTTCATAGAAATTTACCATTTAAAATTTCTAAGAATTCTATCTTCGGATAATTATTATTTATTCTAAAAAAATATTTTACTTTTTTTATTGTTTTATCTTCCTAAAATTTAATCATGCTAAAATTCTTTAAAAATAATAAATACCCAAGAAACAAAAATGGCTCAACTTCAGTGGTTGTGGCGTGGCTTGACTTCAAGTAGGGGAAGTAGCTGGGATGGTGCAGTTTATGGCTCGGCTCAGCTCGAGCCAAGGATGGGTCCATAGGTCAAAGACGGGTTGAGTGCTTGGGTTGGGTCGCTTGAATGGAAACACACTGATCCTAGGGCCATTTAACCCTCAAAACAATAATGTTTTGATTGGCCATAAAAGCTAAAATTTATTTTTTTCTTTAAAAATTCCTTTGCTCCCTTTCTCTTTTCTTCCCTTTTCTCTTTATTTCTCTCTAAAATCTCTAAGAATACCAGTTGAATCTTTATCGGATGCTGAGAATTTTCATCAGAATATAGGTTGGTTTATCAAAATCTGGCTAAAGTTCATTGGTTTTTGGAAAATGGACATCGAAACTGGGAACCTTGCCGAAAATTAGGGATCTCGTTAGAAAGTTATTTAAAAGTTCTACTAGAATCTGAAAATCTTTAGAAAATTTCCAAAAAAATCTTTTTAAACCTAAAAATCCCCCCAACAAACTTTTGCTTTTGTGTGTGCTTTTTTTATACTATCTCTGATCTCTTTATTTTTTGTGTCTCCTCTTTTACTTGATTAATGTGTGTATTTATAAAGAGAAATCAGAAGAGTTTCTAATTAACTGTGCCTCCACCTTTGATAAAGTTTATGTATTATCACAAACATTAGATTTATCCTAGATTAAATCCATCTATAACTATACCAACCCTAATTCACGACAGAATTATTTTTATATTTTGGTTTCTTATTTATTAAAAATATATCTAATTCATCCACCATTTGGGCTAAAATTAAAAATATCTTTTCACCTAAAAATTTCTTAGATAATCAATCATTAGATAATCAATCATTACATTTACTAAGAATTTCATTATCAATTTTTTTTTATTTTTTTATTTCTAAATTTTTCACTATTTGAGTCAATTTAGAATTTTCATTTTTTTTTATTTTTTTAAATGATATGACAACTGTTTTCTTAAAATTCATTTAAATTCTTTCACCATTTATGACAAATTTAAATAAATTTCTCACCAAAAAATTTCTTAGATAATTAACAATTTGCAATTACTAAAAATTTTATCATCAAAATTTATTTTTATTTTTTTATTTCTAAATTTTTCACAATTTGGATCAATTTAGAATTTTTTTTGATTTTTTATTTTTTTGAATGATACAACAACTATTTTTTTGAAATTTCATTTAAATTCTTCCATCATTTGGGATAAATTTAAATAAATTTCTCACCTAAAAATTTCTTAAATAATCAACCATTTGTGATTACTAAGAATTTCATCATCGAAATTTATTTTTATTTTTTATTTCTAAATTTTTCACTATTTTGATCAATTTAAAATTTTTTATTATTTTTGAATGATATGACAACTATTTTCTTGAAATTTCATTTAAATTCTTCTATCATTTGGAACAAATTTAAATAAATTTCTCACCTAGAGATTTCTTAGGAAATTTACCCATTTGAAATTTCAAGATTCTTATCCTTGGAAATTGTCAAATATTTCTAACCAAATTGTTTTTTTGGAAAAGAATATAATTACTTTTAATTGAAATTTCATCTAAACTATTCCACCATTTGGGACAACTTTAGAGAAATTTCTCACTTAGAGATTTGTTAGAAATTACCATTCCAAATTTTTAAGAGCCTCATCCTTGGATAATTAGTATTTAATCCTAAAATTTTTATTAAATTTTTTTATTTTCTTTTTTATTTTCTTTTATAATTGAAAATAAATATTAATTACTATTATTGAAACTTTATCTAAATTATTCTACCATTTGAGACAAATTTAGAAAAAATTTCTCACCTAGGAATTTCTTAAAAATTTACCATTTGAAATTTTTAAAAATTTACCATTTCTTAAAAATTCACCTAGGAATAATTATTATTTATTCTAAAAAAATATTTTATTTTGTTTTATTTTTTATCTTCCTAAAATTTAATCATGCTACAATTCTTTAAAAATAAATAAATACCTAAAAAACAAAAATGGCTCGATTTTAGTGGCTGCGATGCGGCTCGACTTTAGGTAGGGGAAGCAGCTGGGATGGTGTGGCTCACGGCTCGACTTGGCTCAAGGCAAGGATGGGTCCATAGGTCGAAGACAGGTTGAGTGCTTGGGTTGGGTAGCTCGAATGGAAACACGCTGATCTTAGGGCCATTTAACCCTCAAAATAATGCCATTTTGATTGGCTATAAAAGCTAAAATTTATTTT